GAAGCCATCCTGGTTTCTGATTTGATCCCGGAATGTCCCGCTTTTCCTTAGGACGTTCCTATTTTCATTGGAGAAATGTTGGCGGGTATGGAGTTATGCAACCCCTTAGCCAAGGAGATAAGTAACTATACCACCTTTAGAAGACATCTAAATAATAATAATAATACATAATAATTTATTATTTATACCCTGCCCTGGGCAGCTTCCAACTGAATATTAAAAACAATACAGCCTCAGACATTAAAAACTTCCCTAAACAGGGCCACCTTCAGTTGTCTTTTAAAAGTAAAATAATTGTTTATTGCCTTGACATCTGCTGGGAGGGCATTCCACAGGGCAGGTGCCACTACCGAGAAGGCCCTCTGCCTGGTTCCCTGTAACCTCACTTCTCGCAGGGAGGGAACCACCAGAAGGCCCTCAACACTGGACCTCAGTGTCCGGGCTGGATGATGGGGGTGGAGATGTTCCTTCGGGTATACAGGACCGAGGCTGTTTAGGACTTTCAAGGTCAGCACCAACACTTTGAATTGTGCTCGGAAACGTACTGGGAGCCAATGAAGATCTTTCAGGATAATGTTTTATTATGTTTTTATGCATGTTGGAAGCTACCCAGAGTGACTGGGGCAACCCAGTCAAATGAGTGGGATATAAATTTAAAAAATATTACTACTACAGTCGTACCTTGGATCCTGAACACCTTGCTACTCGAATGTTTTGGCTCCCGAATGCCGCAAACCATGAGTGTTCCTGTTTGTGAACGTTCTTTGGAAGCTGAACTTCCAACGCGGCTTTCGATTGAGTGCAGGAAGCTCCTGCAGCCAATCGGAAACGGTGCCTTGGTTGTCAAATGTTTTCGGAAGTCGGAACAACCAAGGCATGACTGTGCTACTACTAATATGGAGGAACAGGACGTTCCTGCTCTCGTTGGATAAATGTTCAGGGGTATGAGTTTATTAAATCATGTGCAAACCAGCCCGAAATAATTGTGCATAGGGCTGCAGTCTTAATTAAGCTTTGACTTAGAAACTGAGCATTTGTTGCCCATTCTTGTTCCTTTTTCTTTCTCCTAGCAGCAACCCACCTCTGGTGGAAGGAGGAAGTTGATTTGCCTCAAACTAAAGTGCTTTCGTCTGAAATGCATGCTGGGGCCTGAAATTCTTTGGCTATTTTAAAATGTGATGTTGGGGAGAAAAAGGGGTCTTTGCAGGTAGAATGACTCACACAAGGAATGTATTATTTGTTCTGGCTTTTTGTGGCATGAAAAGAAATATGTATATAAAAAATACATATTACATTGTGCTGGAATGAGATGAATGTTCCGCTGCCAGGGGGATTAGAAAATAAGGAGGAAATAAAGAAAAAAACAGTGTAGGAGAAGAAAAGGGGGGAGTCTTAGCGCAGGAGTGGGCAGCCTTCACAGATCTTCATCTTTTTTACCAGCACCCCAAGAGGTACTGAGCAGAGGCAGAAGAAATAGTGTGAAAGAACAAAATGCCTCTGAGCACATTCTGAGGCTAGGCATTTGTTTTCAGTACCAGAATTGAACTGAGCTCCCACAGTTCTTTCCCACAATGTTTCACACTCCTGTTTAGTGTTCTTCATTTCAGCAACCTAATTTAAGGGAGTCGGTTTGCAGTTGCGATTGTTAGGAGCCAGGAACCTTTGCTGATCTACTGCAAATCACCCACCGATCTAACTTCTGCCCATCTCTGCCTCAGAGATTCCTCTGCCAAAGCCATTGTATATTATTTGACTTCTTCCCTGTTAACACGGATGTATGTTCCTTTGCAAAAATGTGTATATGGGGGGGGACATACAAATGTGTATATAAGGAAAAATGCGCACTAAATTGCTGATGAATTTTCATGAGGATTTAAAAAAATGTATTCCCTCCCTCCTGCTCCCCCGCTCCCCCCCCCAAAAAAAACACCTCATGTGGAAATGTGGAGAACTGAATTCAGGATTGGGGAAAATGAGAAACTGAGGGAAATTGAAACAGACAGATTCTCCCACTCCTTGTTGGGCTACCACCTGCGGTCTGAAACAGTAAACTAAGCATAGTGAGAACTAAGTTGAATAGGCCATTTTAAAACACATTCTAATGCAAGAACTCCACTTAATGTTCAACAAGCGCTGGCCCTTGTGCGCACTGGTATTTGCACACTGGCATGGCTGTTTCAAAGGTCGCAGAGCGCTGGGATGAAAATGCTAGCCTTCTAGGAGCCACTGCATGGGCGCAAATATGCTTTCCAATGTTATGTCCACCATGTTGGGCACCTGAACCATTTTTGATGGCCTCTTCATGACGGCCGTCACATTTAACTTGGTCTTCAACCTCATTCTTCAGAAGTTGGAATGTCTCTGAATATTCCGTCACAATACAAACACAACACATGGGCTAATAGTTAGTAGAGAATATACCGTATTTTTCGCCCTATAGGACGCACCGTCCCATAAGGCGCACCTAGTTTTTTGGGGGGGAAATAAAGGGGAAAAAATTTATTTCCCCCCTAGGCACGGGGCTGGGGCGGGGGAAGCCCGAGCTTCCCCCAACCCCAGCCCCCAGAACAGGCAACTCTTCGCAAGCCGCAGGAGCCCAGTGCAGGGCTCCCGCGGCTTGCGGAGAGGTGCGCGAAGTCTGGGCGCGCTGGGCTCAGCGCGCCCAGCCTTTGGCATGCATGCAACTCTCCACAAGCAGCGGGAGCCCAGCGCTGGGCTCCAGCGCCTTGCGGAGAGGTGCGCGAAGTCTGGGCACGCTGAGCTCAGCGCGCCCAGCCTTCGGCATGCAGGCAACTCTCCGCAAGCCACGGGAGCCCGGTGCGGGCTCCCACGGCCTGCGGAGATCTGCGGGAAGCCTGGAGAGCGAGAGGGGTCGGTGCGCACCGACGCCTCTCGCTCTCCAGGCTTCAGCGAAAGCATGCATTCGCCCCATAGGATGCACACACATTTCCCCTTCATTTTTGGAGGGGGAAAAGTGTGTCCTATGGGGCGAAAAATACGGTATAATAGAATAACGATATCATTCAAACTGTAGGAATAAGCCAATCAAAGTTCATATGTACAATATAACAGAGTGGTAGCGAGGACCATCAAGCGGTGTGTTCAAAACAGATGTCTTAAGGACAGTCTCACAACAGTCTTTCAAAGGAAGACGTCTCAAAAGTTTCAAAAGTAAAGTCTCTCAATAGTCTTTCAGAAGTTTCAACAGAAGACATCTCAAAAGTCTCAAAAGGAATGATACTACTGTTTCGTAATAGTCTTCATCAGCTGGAAATAAGATACAAGGCATACAACTGATGAATGATAACTGTAAAAAATCACATTTAACTTGGTCTTAAACCTCATCAGAAGTTGGAATGTCTCTGAATATTCCGTGGCAATAAGACAGTTCAGTCAATAGCTGTGTGGCAAAAGTTCATTTAACTTGAAAGTGGCAAACGACTGTGAGCCCTCAACCAACCTCTCTAGCATGGTTTGCAAATCAAATGTAAAATGACCAAAGGATGTGGGGTGCCCCCGTTAAACCATCCTACATTTGAATCCCTTTAGTATTTCTCTCTTGCCTTTTTGTTAGCATTGCAATGTCTTCCCTCCTTATGAGGACTGTGTATGCTACTTCCTGTATTAGGTCTCTGTGATCTCAAAAATAAAACCCTGATCTTGCAAAGCCAGTTGCACTTCCTTCCCGTTGAAACCAGAATTTCAAGGGCTCTGGACCATAATACCTTAAAACGGCTCAGGACCGCAAGACCTCAAGGACCGCCTCTCCCCATATAAACCATCCTGGACTCTGCGTTCATCATCTGAGGACCTTCTTCGTGTGCCTACTCCACCTGTGGTCCAGAGGGTGGCAACACGAGAACGGGCCTTTTCTGTGCTGGCTCCCCATTTGTGGAATCCTCTCTCCAGGGAGGTTTGCCTGGTGCCTTCATTATATATTTTTAGGCGCCAGTCAAAAATGTTCCTCTTCAACCAGGCCTTTGGCTGATTAATATTCCACAGCCTTTTAATATGTCCCTGTGGGAAGGGAGGGTATTGTCGTTCCGCTGCTTTGTTTTAATTATTTACCTGTGTTTTTGTCTTGCATTTTATTCTGTGAACTGCCCTGAGATCTTATGCTGAAGGACAGTATATACATTTAATAAATAAAATAGAATAGCCTTGCCCTCACCAGTTCTGGAAGGCTCCTATAGAAGAGTCCTGTACGCACAGAGACTTTGCGCCTGCCCATTAGGGGAAATAGGAAGCCCCGAAAATGTATTTTTTAGATGTCCTTTTTATGTTGAGATTCGCAGAGACACCATTGATCCTTTGCTGAAGAGGCTCACCGATCTTTCAGACAAGTCTAAACTTAATTCTCTCCTCTTAGGCAAAGATAGGCTGGTAGCCAGATTCTGCACCCAGATTTGTAGGCACAGATCATCCTCTAGAATAAATAGCTTACTAGGGAAATGCTGAAGTCGCCCTTTGGGGCGCCTCAGGGTCAATTTTTTATGGTAGCCCAAATCTCAGTTGTACGGGTGTCTGTATGTATCGCAATTTTAACTCATGAGCTACTGCTGCAATCTGCTCCGATTGTATATTTTATTTTTATGAACACTGTTTTTATTGTGTTATGTTATGTGAGCTGGCCCTTGACCGTAATAAATAAATTACAATTACAGTAGGACATGTTAATTGCAATGAGTCTGATTTCAGTGGGACTTAAAACATGATTTAACTATCTCTAGATTCGGACTAGAGATTTTTGCTCCCTTTGCTTGTCATCTTCTCAATATGACCGAGAATCTTACAGGAACTTACAGAGACACTTGGTTGCCCTGGGACAGCCTAACATCCCAAGGGCGCAATTAGAAGGTGGTTGAATTAAACATGTACTCAGAGTATGTACATGCTCAGTGGGCTTTGCAGCGAGGAGCTAGAGGTGGTTGGGGAAACTGTTCATCTTGATGAGCGTGGTGCACATTCCGCTATTAAATAGTTTTTGGTTTTCTACAAAGGGTCCCATTAGGATGCCAACAAGGGCAGATGGGAATGTCTGCTCTCCGAGCGTCAATGACCAGGCCTCCTCACCTTCTCAGCAGCCTGAAGCGGTGGTTAATGGCCTCAAGGTAACACGCCTTGCTGTGTTTGGCATGTAGCTGCCAAATCTCCCATCTGTATGTTCTGTGACCATCCGTGATCCATTGCACCAAAGCATCAGCGTTTCTCAGAGGGAAGATACGATACGCCACAAATGCTGCTTCCATCTCCCCACATGTTCTTATGCCCGTCTCACTCATCATCTACCACTTGTCTCTACTTGGGCTGTCAGCTGGTGAGACTTCTCCTTTAACAGGGGTGAGGAACCTGTGTGGCCCTCCAGGTGTTGTGATCAGGGATGACAGGAGTTATGGTCTAGCAACATCTGGAGGGCCACCTTTGACCAGCAGAACAGAAATAGCTACATTTTCAGAAGTCCTGTGAGACCTGCCTAACTCTCCATCAGAGCACCCTGTGGACTTCTTCCTAACCCCATTCACACAATCGTGTTTTAGACTGAGTTGTGGATGGTGTGGTCCTCCTAGCTAAGAACATACAAAACTTATCTGCTGGATTGGACCAAAGGTCCATCCGGTCCAAACTTGGGTCTCCAGCTGTTTTCAGACTACATCCCATCATCCCTTACCACTGGTCTTGCTAGCTAGGGATGATGGGAGTTGTAGTCCCAAAACATCTGGAGACCCAAGTTTGGGAAACACTGATCTAGTCTGACATTCCATTTCCAGTAGTAACTGTGAGCATTCAGATCCCTCTGAGACACTCAAAAGCAGGGCAATAAATAACAAGACTTCCTGAGCTGTCTGCCCCCATCATCTGATAATAATATGAGTCTTTCTGAACATGGAAGTCCTGTTAAGCTGTTGTGGTGAATAGTCACAGATAGGCCCATGCACCATAGATTTCTCGAACTTTTTATTTTTAAAAGCCATTGAACTTGAAACCATCACCATATCTTGTGGCAGTGAAATCCATAAGTTAATTATGTGTTTTGTGTCAATTAGTACTTCCTTTTGCCTGCCTTGAATTGTATACGAGTCTTTGGGTGACCTCAAGATCTGCTGTCATGAGACCAGAGGGGGAAAATGTTTTGATGCTGTTCACAATTTTATTGACTTATAACTTTGCCCTTTCTGGCTGGAAAAGTGCCCAAATTCCACGACAATTTTGATTTTCTCTTTGTGCTGCGACAAGTAGTTGCATCTCAATAGGTGCCCCATTTTGGAAAGGTTGTTGTCCACCATGAGGAGTGGTGGGACATCTGACCCGCTCTCAGTTTGGAACGTCCTGTTACATAAAATGCAATTGGCTACTATTATGCGTTATGGGTGGGTGGCGCTTTGGGTTAAACCACAGAGCCTAGGACTTGCCAATCAGAAGGTCGGCAGTTCGAATCCCCGCGACGGGGTGAGCTCCCGTTGCTCGGTCCCTGCTCCTGCCAACCTAGCAGTTCAAAAGCACGTCAAAGTGCAAGTAGATAAATAGGTACCGCTCCGGCGGGAAGGTAAACGGTGTTTCCGTGGACTGCTCTGGTTCACTGGAAGTGGCTTAGTCATGTTGGCCACATGACCCGGAAGCTGTACGCCGGCTCCCTCGGCCAATAAAGTGAGATGAGCGCTGCAACCCCAGAGTTGGTCACGACTGGACCTAATGGTCAGGGGTCCCCTTTACCTATGCGTTATGGGGATGGGTTTTTTTTTTGCAGGAAATTGTCCCTTTGGAGGCAACTTTACAGCTTCATCATTTGCATCCTCTGAAAAAGACAAGGGACATTTCCAGATAGCAAAGACTTTCTCCAGTATTCTCCATGCAACTCAGAAAAAATAGGTTAATATTTTATGATCTGATAAAATATTTACGAGTTTAATAATGGGAAAAAAGAGAAAATCTAAAGCATGCATTACGCACACAGGCACCGTGTCATGGGTTCCTAAACTTTTTGTTTCCATTTCCCAAAATCCCCCACACTCATTCTGCCCTGCCATGTGCCTTTGGCTACACAGAGAGGCTGCCTGCACCCACGAAGCAGCACTTAGCGCCTGGCTGGGATGCGAGTGGCGCTGTGGTCTAAACCACAGAGCCTAGGGCTTGCCAATCAGAAGGTTGGCGGTTCGAATCCCTGTGACGGGGTGAGCTCCCGTTGCTCCTGCTCCTGCCAACCTAGCAATTCGAAAGCACGTCCAAGTGCAAGTAGATAAATAGGTACCACTCTGGCAGGAAGGTAAACGGCGTTTCCGTGCGCTGCTCTGGTTCGCCAGAAGCGGCTTAGTCATGTTGGCCACATGACCCGGAACCTGTACGCCGGCTCCCTCGGCCAATAAAGCGAGATGAGCGCCGCAACCCCAGAGTCGTCCGTGACTGGACCTAACGGTCAGGGTCCCTTTACCTTACCTAAGTCAGGGAAATATCTGGAAAAGGTGTGAACTTGAGATCTCTTCCCTTCTCCCTTGCCAGAGAAGAGGGTAGCACTCCTTTGTGTAGTTAGTTAGGATTCCTTAAAGCGACAGAAGGACTTGGGAGTTCAGAATGGCTCAGTCAGTAGAGTGCAAGACTCTTAATCTCAGGTTCAAGCCCCACATTCGGCAAAAGATTCCTGCATTGCACGGGGTTGGGCTAGGTGACCCTAGATGACTAGAAGGAGGATCATTGTGGAATGCCTGCCTGCCCACTCCAACTCATAACAAATCACCTTATTGGTCAAGTTGAACTCAATATTGCATGCACTGGCTGGCAGCAGCTCTCTAGGTTTTCAGTCTTTGCCAGCCCTCCCTGGAGATGGCGGGGTTGAACCCAATACTTTCTGCTTGGAAAGCAGATGTTCTACCTCTGATCTGCAGCCCTTCCACACAGAAGGCAGGCAGGGTTGTTTGCCTGTGCCAAGCATACTGCACACTTTCACCTAATCTCACCCAACTCACTTTCACCTATCCTGCAGCTCCGAGAAGGATTGGTCTTCAATCCTGCCCGCAGACTGTTTCGCTAGAGTGGTGCATGCTCTAGTTATCTCTTGCTTGGACTACTGCAATGCGCTCTACATGGGGCTACCTTTGAAGGTGACCCAGAAACTACAACTAATCCAGAATGCGGCAGCTAGACTGGTGACTGAGGGCGGCCGCCGAGACCACATAACACCGGTCCTGAAAGACCTACACTGGCCCCCAGTACATTTCCAAGCACAATTCAAAGTGTTGGTGTTGACCTTGAAAGCCCTAAATGGCCTTGGTCCAGTATATCTGAAGGAGCGTCTCCACCTCCACCATCCTACCCGGACACTGAGGTCCAGCACCGAGGGCCTTCTAGTGGTTCCCTCACTGCGAGAAACAAAGCTACAGGGAACCAGGCAGAGGGCCTTCTCGGTAGTGGCCCCCGCCCTGTGGAACGCCCTCCCACCAGATGTCAAAGAGAACAACAACATCCAGACTTTTAAAAGACATCTGAAGGCAGCCCTGTTTAGGGAAGCTTTTAATGTTTGATGCATTACTGTATTTTAATATTTTGTTGGAAGCCACCCAGAGTGTCTGGGGAGGCCCGGCCAGATGGGCAGGGTATAGATAATAAATTATTAATATTAAATTATTATTCAGCTCATGCACTTGCAAGGATAACACCATTGCTTGGAAGTGTATGGGTCTGGAAGAGCAGGGTTCGAATCCCCACTCCGCCATGGAGCTCACTGGGTGTGACCTTGGGCCAGTCTGACCTACCTCATAGGGTTGTTGTGGGGCTTAAATGGGGAAGTGAACAACCAGGTACCCCACATCCTCAGAGAAGAAAGGTGGGTTATTGTGGCATTTGCCTCCTAGGTGGGTCATAAGGAAAGGGTTAAATGAGTGTGATGTGATTGGCCAGAAAGAAACTGATAGGAGGAGTTAGAGTCTGTGTTGTGTGGAAGTCAGTTGAGAGTTGGAGAAGGAAGAGGGAGGAATAAGTCTGTGGGTTGGTGAAGTTGTGTTGTGAGAGAGTGAGAGGAACTGTTAGGTGTAGTCAGATAGATAGTTGGAATAATCAGTTTGAAGTTGTTAGGAACATATAGTTAGTAAAGAAACTAAGAATAAGAAACTGACAAGAAAAATTAACTGAAACCTTAAATTTGTTCATGCTTATAAAAATAAACTTGATTATTTCTTAATGTAAACAACTGTCTGGACTCTGTGTGTACCCAAGAGAAACGGGTTGGTGGCAGCGAAGAGGCAATCACAGTGGTGTCACAGGGATCAATAGACCGTCAAACGTCCAGGGACCCTGTATGATCGCCACAAAAGTGGTGGCAGTGGTGGGATTCGAACCCACGCCCTCGAAGAGGGTCACACAGGGTCCCTCAGTCCAGGCAGTTGATAATTTACTAGGAGGCAAACGCCACAGTTATAATTTGCAACAAACAAATAAATAATGAACAAGCACACCCATGGAGAAGCCTTGCGGAAATTATCTTTCCTTCTAAAAGGAAGGAAGAGAGCACTATCTGAGATTTTGCATGGTTGAGGCACTCATACAGAGCACCTGGTTCACCCGACGTGTAGTTGCAGACAGAGTCTCTCTCCAGCTCCCCAGAGAATCTGGGGCTCGGATTCTTGCATCCTGGGTCAATGGTTATATGCTCAATTCCTTTTCTGAACTGGCCCCATTAGACATTCATTATAAGGGCTCCCTGCGTAGCTTTAACCTGCAAGGTCACATTAACGTTCTTGATTGCAGAGGAAAAGCAAGCTTTGTTTTCATGCGGAAAATTTACATTTTCGTTCTCCGCCCCCATTAACGCACCCAATTCTTGATTATGGATAAAGGCTATGAGCTTAGTGTGTGGGTGTCCAAGGGAGAAGAGTTGCAGCCCCAGAAATTTACAGTGCAAATTTTAATGTCCCTCATTTTGTATTCTCTCTTCGAAGCTTGAAATCATATTCAGAGAAATGTTATGAATTTTTTAAAATGCTGACAATATGCCTTGGAAGTATTTTAACATGCAAATGAAACCAATTATCCTTTGATTCTCCTGTACGGTGGAATTTATTGACTTTACGTGAATGTGAGCCTTGCAGTGCTGAGGTCAGCTAAGATTGTTATAAATTCACCT